AAAGTTTTGTTTTAATTCAAATTATTATTTTTTCTTGAACTGACAATAATTTGATATTATAAAATCAATTTTACAATATTCTTTTTTATATGACTACTTTTCTTCTAGCCAAATATATCCAATTTTAACATTGATACTCGTAACATTTATTCGAATTTTTCGAATTTATTTCGTGATATTTGGCATATCGAGAAGAATAGCAACACAATTCAAAAATATAATTTCGATTTCCGGAATTTAAAGAATATATTTATACCCGAGAGTTAATTACTATTCTACAAGTATATGAACAAATTTTCTGTATTATTTTGTTTCAGAAAAGCTTTATATATTAAAAAATATAATAGTAACAAAAGCAAGTTTGTGACTCTACATTTTGACTTATGTCATTGTTCTCGTAAATGTGCCATTTGTCAGATGTGTATTTTCAAAAGCATAAAAAAATATTTGCAATTCCATTAATTCCATTTTGAGCTAACTAATGAAATGTGTTCTTTTATTCACAATCTACCACACATACCTCTATGAATTATTATTTAATTGTGACAATTTTTAATACAAATCTGATGTACATATATATATGGGTTAAGAGTATATATAAGTGTATAGTTTAGTTTAGGAATAATAAATTGTTAATTAATTGCTTATATAACCACATTTTACCAAATATATTGCATATGCATTTATAGAATTACATACAAACATACATGAAGATGTATATGAACATATAAGGTATACGTACCTTAACATAAAACAATCTAGTATTATTATAGGTCTATGAAAAATAATGGTGCACCATCACATGTGACTTGATTACTGCTTATGATAAATTTTAAGTATAATTAAATGATTTTTTTAATTTTGAAAAATTGGTACCATTAAGCCATGCAACCTTTTGATGAAAACCAAATATTTATTTAAAACTATACCTACGTTAATGTAGTACACAAGTATTCGCATCAAAAGAAACGATGATTTTTATAAATAACAATCATAAATCATCGGAAAACACATTTTAGGCGCAATATAGAATTCATTTTTAAAATAATTCATTAAAAATATTTTTCTTTTTTTTTTTTAGAAACGTTTTATTTCAAATAAAAAAAAATCATTTCTATTTTTTATACCTTTGTTTTTTAGAAAATACGAAATTTAATAGTCAAATTATTTTCAGTAGCAATTAAGTATTTATCTTCTGTTTGGTCTTTAGATATATGATGTTTTAATCTAATTTAATTTGAAATATGACGCACTATATGGGTAGACGCTAGATAATTATTTAATAGGTATATGGCCAACTTAAAACACTTGTGTATTTTATTTCAATTTTAATATATTAATGGGCAATACTTATAAATTGTTTATTATTTAACAGTTCGTTATTAGATCATAATATAATAATAAAAAAATTTTTAAAAGCATAAAATGATAATATAGAACTTAAATATAATACAAAATTTTCTTTCTTTTTATGTAATGCAGATAAAAATCTCGTAAATAAGTGAGATAAAGCACAAAACCAAGAATACAGGTTTGTTAAAGATTTTGTGGTTTTTGAAAGGTTTTGTGGCTTACGTGCATTTGATTAAATAAAGTGCGATTATAAAAACAATTTGAAGGAGTTTACTCCAAATTTAGGCAGTCAGGCAGATATAAAGACGTTGGAAGAGGAAACTGTTACTTCTAGACGGTCCGGGATTATAAGTTATTTGTCAACGGAATGGAACGTAATCGTTCGAAATTGACCTGATTTGTTCTCCGGATTATTGCGGAATCAAAGGAAACTGCATGGCGAATGAGTTTGCCACTTCGCATGAAAAGACTTATAGGGTCCTACCTGAAAAGAAGGATTTTGGGGTTCCTCTAAGTAAATGCAAGCTGTTCAAACCGGCAATAGAGCAAACCATCAGTTAGTGAGAAAATAAAACGACATGTAGCGCGATCAAACAATTTTGGTTTAAGCTAGGACTTCATCGCACGGGGAATCTGATGTCTCTCCTTCGGGGTGACATTTGAGCTATAGTGTGAAATTAATATTTTCTTAGTTAATAATTAAATATTTCTACGTTCTATAAAATTAAGTAATGTTCAAATTCCCTAATGTTCACTCAGAAAATTTTTATGATCCAATATGATGCGAATTTGGAATTAGCATCTGAACATCAACAATATTTTATTATAGACAATTTCTTCTTGAAACATCTTGAAATAATTCTTTATAAGTAAATTTCCCTGGAATAAGTAAAATTTTTACAAAAAAATAGTATACTCACTTTTACAATTTATTAATAATTTGTAGTATATACGCAGTTTTCTTATATCACTATTTTTATGAGAAAAATTATGCGTCTGCTCTGAAATCCAAGATTATTTAACAAATGTCTCTGAAATATGATCAAGCATTCTGATTATTCGTCATTCATTATTTTTTATTAAAAATGAAATATTAAATAATATTTTTGTTTTGTCATATGCATTTAGGGTGTAATTATAGTAGGGTTCAAATTTAGAATATTTCTTGATTGAGTATATTTCTTTATGTGTGACCATTTATAAATTATTTTGTATATAAATGAACAAGTAACCCAAATCAAACAAGCTTTTAAGAATTTTTAAAAAAACATTTTGTAAAATTTTTAATCTTAAAATCTATTATTACATAAAGGGCTCAAGTGAACCAGTGTAACAATTTTATATTATTATATTTAAAGTGCACGTCTGTTGACATTCTAAAATTTTATTTTAATTTATTTTTGAAATTTGTAAGTTTTTGAAAATGTTTCGGAAAATTTTCTTTGAAGAATATTTTTGTTTTTTTTTTTGCTATATGCATTTGAGCTGTCTTCCGCATAAAACTTCTGTTGTTAAATACTTTCCGATTTTAAAAAACTACTAAGGAAAGAAAAAATAAATTATTTAAATAAAATTCTTTATACATGACAGAAATATGTAAAAAAGCATGTAGTAAAAAATGTAAAAACACATAGTAAAAGCTTACAAAAAATTTTATTTTTTTAATTTTGTTTTTTCTTCTCAAATACATGCATTTCAATCTTTTTCTCTAAAAAAAGTAATTAATTTTAGAATTTATTTGAAACAAGGTGTGAAATTTGAGTTTAACAAAACATTATAAATCGATTTATCTTTTTGAATTTTTTGGAATTGAGTTGGATAAAGAGATGTACATATTTTGTTTTTGCTTTTTTTAAAAATTTCTTAATAAAAAATTAAAATTTATTATAGGGGAATCAAATGGTTCCGAATAAAAAAAAAAAAAGAATTTGGAATGAAATATAATGTTTGTATATTTTCACTTCCATTTTAAATTGTAAAGTTTTATTAAGGAAAATTCAACGTATTATTTAGGGCATTATTGCAGAGACGAAATGAAAAAGCAGAACTATGAAGGAAAATTAATGAAATCAAAAGCCGAATAATTTTTTTTACTGAGTTTGCTTGATAAGTTTCGAAATTATCAAAATTCGAATATGTAATTTATTTTACAAAATCAAAATTTTGCGTTATTCGCCATGTAACTTAGTCATTATACGATATCAAGTATTGTATAATGATTAAGTCACCATACGACAGTAGCTATTTGTAAATTATTCAAAAATAAAGTTAGCCTCTTTTTTTCCTGTAAAGGATATGGAAGTGTTTGTCTCCTTTTGTGGAGTATTTTACTGGAGTATCTTTTACTGGAGTATTTTATAGCTTTTTGTGTTTAAGTTACTAATTCACTTAGAGTAAAATTTAACTAATTGGCCGAGGAAATTACAGTAAATTTAATTCATATAAGATTTTCTCATGCAGACGCCGAAAAGTATGCAATATTGAGGTTATGTGTTACAATAAAAATGTACTCATATACAATGTCAGCTTGATTGATTTAATTCATAAAATTGTAAATATACAAAAGTTTAAATTGGCATATGAGTTTGATTTTTGTATTTCCTTGTTGTTTAACAATTATTTCTTAATGTTAACACTATTTTGGATTGTGCTATATAAATAATTCAGTTTTTCATTTTAACAAAACGAAAATTGCCATAATAAAATTTATTTGGTAATTCAAAAATCGAATTAATTTTTTTTTTTCAGTTTCCCCACCTATTCATTTGTTTTGCTTCCATTTATTTATTGTATAGCTCTTTATAGAGCGATTTTCCACGGTATGTTTTTAACATATAACATTAAATTTTTCATTTTTATTTCTCTTATTTTCCCTTTTAATCTGAAAATATTTTATCAGTGTATATACACAGGTAATATTTATGTTTCAGAACACTTTTATTCATTAAAATTACTATTTTTATTATCTAGTTGACACTGGTTGTGGTGTATGTATAATAAATTTTCTATATATACATATTAAAATTTTCATCTCAACCATACATTTTTTTATGAATTTAATTTATTATCAGATCATAATGCAAACAATTTATATTCGTTGATCTTTGTGGTTGAGTATAACATTTTGATGAAATAATTTTATATTATAAACTGTAACGAATATATAAGTCACATACCAAGTGAGAATAACCAAAAATATTTCGTAAATATACTTAGTAATCAAAAAGTGTATATAAGAAAAATGGATAAGAAAAACACAAAGAATAGTAAAATCTTAAATTTATTTTAAGAGAATTAAGAAACAAAAAAATTTTTAAATAAATAAAAATTATTGTCTTAAAAATAAAATATCCATAAAATTTGTTAAAAATCATGTTTCATTAAAAATCTTAAAATTTAAAGCTTGTTAATTTTTATAGAATATCGAGATTTTCATATTTTTTTTTCTTGTTTTTTTCTTTAAATTATAAAATGATTCTTATATAATTTATGTACAAAAATAAAATTAAATACAAGTAATACAGAAATTATTATTTTAATAGTTTTGTTTTCGTTTTTGTTTTTTAATTTAATTAAATATTTTAAATTAGTTTGATTCCCTAGACTTATTATTAAATTTAAATTAATATTAATATATTTAATCGAATTTAACGTTCCCACATTTTTGAGGGTAGAAATCCTTTCTCTTTCAAATTAATTATTGAACTTGCAATTATTTCAGCTGATGATCTAACAAATCCTGTACCTAATACCATTGCTATTGGTATTTGTAATCCTCGAACTTTTGTAAACACAATTTCGTCACGTGCAACAATTCCCTTGAAAAGAAAATATTTTTCTATAGTGCAAGAGTATAATCAAATAACATACAAAATATTTCAATATCTTTAATATTTTAATTGAGTTTTTTTAAAAAAAGATGCAGTGATGGTGAATAATTAAGAAAAAAATGTCTAAAATTACTAAAATAATTAAATTAGTGTGAAATATTTTCGAGAATATATTATTTAAATTTTAGGTAAAATTATTTTCGAAATTTTCCATATTGTCAAATTTGTTGACTATTAAAAATAGTTCGGAATGAAATTTATAAAACTGATTAGACATAATCAGTTGAAATAAGAATTGAAATGAAAAATCATAGTTGAATTATTTCAATTATGTATGAAGCCCAAATCTATTATAAACTTACAGATGGTGAAACACAAAGTTCTCCTAAATCATCTCCTTCTACAACATCAGTTCCAGCATTATATAAAACAAAATCTGGTGTGAATTCTTCAAAAGCTTTCAGTAAATTTCTGAAAAATATTATGAATAAAATTATTCCATATTTTTAATTTTATTATTCTTTGAGTAAAAATTTAAAATATGCCCAATAAATAATATAAAATTATTTTATAAATTCACTTACATTCTTAATTTTCTTAAATATACTTCATCTTCTGTATGTGATGGTAATTCAACTTTTCTTGATATAGCCATTTTTGCTTGTTCATCTTTTGGATACAATGTATGATTATACATATCAAATATATAAACTGATTTTATATCCATAAGATCACGTTCATGTCCATTGCCCTGACGTGATGACAAATCAATTATCATAATACGTCGTACATTATTAGATTGATCTAAAAGTATTGATTTTACTGCAAGTGACATATCAGCATATGGTGAAAAAGAACCACCATGATCAGAGCTACAATGATTAAATCCACCACCGAGATTAATTGCCCAACTATTAATAATTAATAGGAAAAAAAAACATTTTTTTACTAAACTATATAAGAATTTTTTTTATTATAATTACCCATGTTTAAGAGCTAATTTACATGCTTTTACAGTTCCACCAGCTTGAAAACGCATTGGTTTCAAATAACTTGATTGAACGAAAACATTTGGTACAAAATGTAATAAAGGAATTTCTGCGATTTTGGCAACATTGTCACTGATCTGTGTTATAATTATGAATTTATAAATGTATAGTAATTTTAATTGGAAGATTTGTTTTTATAAAATAAAATTCATGTATTTTCTATACCTTAAGACTTTGTAAGTAGTCAAATGAATGAACTTCCAAAAGCTCATCTTCATTCATTTCAAGAGGCCGGTAAATATTGTCTTCTTTAACGAGTCCTGATACTTTAAGAAGCTGTATTAATTAAAAAGAAAAATTCTGAGGTGAATTGGTACTAAACCTTTGTTAAAATTTATTAATTTTATTAACTTATATGTATAAGAGTTACAATGTATTTTGACTTTGGTTTAAATACTCTATGATTTTTCAATTAAATTTTTCATTATTTCAAAATAAATGCGCTCTTTGATGATATGCATTGTGATCTTAAATTAAATGCGCTATAGCATTTGATTGAAATTTAATTAAATTTATTTGATTGAATTTGCACTCAATTTAAAATCACAAAGCATATTAAATTAAATGCATTACTATACAAGGTGATTCAGCAATCAGTAACATAACATATAACATTGTTTAGAACATTAAAAATCAGTCAAATTTTGTGTTGGGAGCTACGTGTTAAATTTCAACACATTTTCAAATACAGAAATTTTAATGAAATTTTTGCGAAATTCCTACGTGCCAAGTTTATTTATTTGAAGCCTGAAAAACTGAAAGGGCTGATAAATTTTTAGAACCAACATATTACGAGTACATGATTTTGCATTTCATGTGCATACTTTCGGAAACACAAGCATTCAAACTGTATATTTGAAGCTTGTATTTCTTTCGGAAGTTACAAACAAAATAACTTGAGAAAAAAGAAATTTTGTGAAAATTTGTTAAAGGTCCCTGTACATCTAAAACCGTTGATATTTGGCACATTGTTCTTAACAAAAAATTTACTCATTTTTGATGCCCTAAACAATAGTATATGTTATGCCATTGATTACTGAATATCATTCTGTATATTAATTTTTTAATATTTTTGGAATTTTATTATAAAGGCAAAGAGAACGAATCGCTTTAAAACTTGGACGACGAAACTAAATTAAAAATGCGGATGAAAATACAGTTGAAGAGTAGGAAAAATAATCATACATGCATTGATCAGCACTTAATGTTTCTGGTCCTTTGTAACGTTTTACATTGAATCCTTATGTATGAAAATATTGTTCTGTCTATATTCATTGAACAAATATTTTAAGTTCCATACTTTTCAAATCACTGTCATAGGTTTTTTATACTATTAAGTTTGACTTCATATTTGCTGCACAAGTAGAAATACAATGAATAGTTATGGGTTCTAAAAGCAAGGGTGAAAGTGAAAATCAAAAGGCTGAGAGTGAATTTTTGATTCTCAAGCTCATACAGAATCTTAATTAAAGTAATAATCTAAGAAATCCTACTCAATTATCAATAAAATATTTAAACCTAATTATTTATTGTTTTAATTTATAAGCAGAATTAGCAATAATCCATTCAGAAATATCGTTAATTTGCTGTATAAAAAACAGAAACAATGTCATTTAAGTAAATATAAATTTAAAATAATTATTTTCTATAATTTCTGTAAGTATGTCTGTATATTTTTCTCTAGATATTATGAAAGATTATTTTAATTGAAATTACCGCCTCCTCCTTATTCCTCTCCCCCACTAAAAAATTCTTTCACAATTTATTTATTTTGTAAAAAAGTAAATTTAATTTATTTTAACAATGAACTTGAATTTTATGTGTTTATAAGAAAAAATTTTCTGAATTGCAGACTGATGAACTGAAATTATCTTTTAAAATTATTGTTTGTCTTTTAATATTCTTTTTGAATATTTTATACAATTTAAAATAATATTTTTTTATTTGGTATGAAATTATTATAAAAATAAATTTTATATTGCAAATTATCTTAATTTATAAACATCAAAAGTTGAGTTAAATAAAAATATTTAAAGTATAATAAAAAAAAAATGATTTATTTGGAAAATTTGGCGTTTAGTTTATAGCCCGATATGTAGGAAAAATTTTATTATAATAAATTGCTCACTTAATTAATACGTATTTAAATTTTAACACATTTTCGAGAAATTTTTGAAAAAATGTTAAATTTTATTGTCCGTTCATTTGTGTGTGCGATCATTTATTAAAGCTTAAGGCAAACAGTTTTAATGAACAAACAGATGGAACTTAAAAAGCTATTTCTCTATAGAAAACAACTTTCATGTATCTCACTATATTGCGTATTGCTATAAACCCATACCATGTTGGGTTTATAGCAATGGTTACATAGTACTCATTTTCCAATTTTGGTTCCTTTTCAAAAATTTTTATTAAAAACGAGAAACGGTAATGTTAATCATGTCAATTCTATGATACTATAACGAATAAATGATTTTAAGAGTTGTATGATAATATTGTCACACTGATTCAAGCAACTTTTTGTTTTTTATACAATTCTTGTTTATACGTATAACAATTACCATATAAACTCATACCGTCACAAAAAATTTTACCGCAAATAATGACCATATTTGTTTATGCAAAGTTTAAGCACTGTAATTTAAATTGTTCAAAATATTATTGTTAACATATAATTCTTTAAAATAGTACTTAATAACATAGGGGCCTCAATAATATATTTACTTGCGTGAAATTTCAATACTATAGTTGTTATAATTCCTGGAAGAGCTATATGTTGTATGACAGTTACCCGAAATAATGCCTTTATCACATTCATACAGTCAAAATAGTTTTCAGTATTTACTGTATACGTATAATAAGTGATTTATGAAAATTTGTTGAATTTAAATTATTAATTTTGGGTAATCGCTAGGACCGACCAATGGACATGCGTTCATGCGGTTATAGATATGATAACAATATATTGAGTAGATATCTATAACAATGTATTGTTTCAGATATTTTGGTTCCTTTCTTCTTGGTTTGGTAAGACTTTAATCTATAGGAGATGGTTACAAACTTTTCTTGCCAGTGGCAACCCTGAGTTTGTTAACTACAAGCTCGAATGAAATGTTTTCATATTATTTAAAAGTTTGCTCGAAATATTCATCAAAAAATTTTTTTCCCTAATATTAGAGCATATTTTTACTATTTATAAGTGCGTGCAATATACTAATATTTTCATATTATTCATATTATTTATCAAATATCAATTTTTTCAAAAACAAATTTAGTTTTCCCTAAATAAAACAAACAAAAACACGGAAACAATCAAATATAACTCTCTCTAAATTATTTATTTCATTTATTTATTTATTTCATACTTCATTCCATTACAAAGTTTGCTTAAACTAAGAGAATAAGAAATATGGCATTATTATTTAAAAAAATAAATAGTGTAAATGCCACCAATTATTTACCCAAAAATTATTATTTAAATCTACAATTGCTACTCTAATACTACTCTACAATTGCTAAATAAATCTAATACTACGTAGTACTACAAAAATTAAAATTTTCACAATAAAATTATTTGTTTCTATGCATCTATAATTATTCCTGCTACAAAATATAATTAAATTCAAAAAAATTAAATATTCATTCATACTATTTACTTATACCTACTTAATTTTATAGTTTACAAAACATGATTTGGATTAAGAATTTTACTAAATAAAGTTATACTCGTAATATTAAATCAATTTAGGCTAGTTAACAAATTATCTACCTCTCTATGCTCAAAACTCAAAAGCCATTCTTTTACATTTTTAACAAAATTATTTTAAATTTCTTATAGCACGTATATGTTTAACAAGCGAACAGAAGTTATATCAAAGAAATATCGATAATTTGTAGTTTTAAACATTGGCACATTAACTAAGAATCTTTGATTAATATGTAAACCATAGCGATTTGAAGCTCTATTATTTAAATAACCGCCTCTTAGGTAAAAATCTTGAGAACCCTGAAATAAACGATGCCTGTTACAAATTTTTCTATTTTGTATTCATCCATTGTGAGATTTCTAATATGATTTTTTCATCTAAAACTAATTACTTAGGAAAATACGAACTAATTAAGTATAGTATTTAAAAACTTGCTACATATTGTTTGTTTATTATAATTTAATTTTTTAATCAAAACGTGTACACTATTTATAAATAATTTTTAATGTAATTTTTAAAATTCTAATTTGGACATTGTTTACATAACAGGTAATTACTTATATTGAGGTGTGCAAAACGCAATTTTATTATTATGAATTTCGTTTTTTTTTTTTTTAATAAATTTTATATTTAATAACCGGTAGTGTAAAATTTATTTATTGTGTACATGCGTTTTACCATGCTCTTACAATATATTGAGGGTTTTCTTTGAAATAATGATATTGTTTAAAATTTAGAATAAATCACAGTTGGAGTTGTTGTTTCTTATTAATAAGCATGTCTATATTATATTTTTTTTTTGTGTTTTAGTAAATATTTTTCCCTCCAATAATAATATTTAAGATGATTGTTTTTAATACTAATGTTAATGTTAGTACTAGTATACTACTATTTGTTGTATATATACGTTCTAACTAAAGACTAAATAATCAAATTTTTATTCGTAGTAAACAAATTTGTTTATTTAATAAATTTCTAAGAAATTAAGGAAACTTCAATTTATTTCTAGGAAGAATATTGGATTGATTGATTGCTTATATCGTGAATTTGATTATTTTAAATTAGTATAGATTAATATTAATTTTCATAATATAGGAATTAAGTGTAGAAGATGTTAAAATAATTAATTTTAATGTGTTTTTCAACAAAAACTTATTAAAATTGATTAATGCTGAATAATATTGAATTTCGTACACATATAATTAATTTACAATAATTTATTTTGAATTTGTAGAATTCGAGAATCGCAATTAACAATATTTAAATTGGAATAAATTGTATTCAAAAATTTGTTTTAAGTATTTTATTAAAAATTGTGTCAGAGTCATCGAATACATCAAAAAAATTCGATATTATGCCTAATGCCAAAGATCTTTTTATAATAAGACTATAAATCCTGTGTAAGCTTTTTAGACAAAAAAATCTCACTCAGAGTCGTTTATTGAGCTTTAATGAAATATAAATAATGAAACAACAAATTTTTGATGTATGGCTTCTTGAAAAAGACCAGGGATTTTTTCTAATCTCAATGTAAGTTGTTATTTTTTTGTTTCTAACTAATCCAATTCTATTGCAAATTTTATAATTGTATTGTAAAATAGCATAAAATATGAAAAGTTTTTATTTATTTACAAATTTGTACGAAAAATTAGAACGAATAATTTTCATATAATTTTTGACAAATGATATTCGTTGTGGTCCCATTAAACTGTTATGAAATTTAAAGATAATTAACACACTAACCAACTCAATGGCTTTATGAATCTTAAAAGAAAATTTAAATATAGCTATATCTATAATTATCTATCTATTTATTTATGTAATTAACATTCCAAAAATTCCTCCCCATTATTTAATGTTTTCATTTGAAATTCGAATGTATATTGAATTATTGTTTGATGAATTGAGAATTTGAGTTTATTGCCAAGGTCTATATATACGCTAGAATGAAAAAAAAAACACGAGTTGAATAATTTAAAGGATTTTAAAAGAATTTTTAAGGCGAAAATTCTTTACTAAATATTTTTCTATTTTTGTATTTCAATATTTTAAAAATATAATGAAAATAAAAAAATAAAACAAATTAAAAATGTCGCCAACGCGCACTGCTAATATAAAAAAAAATTTAATTATAATTTTATGATTTTTTTAAACAAATTGAATATTCGACGTCAAAATCAAAATATTTATATCAATATTTACATGTATGTATACATTATATGGAGATGTCATGCGTTTGTATAATGAGTGTTAGTATAATAACGGTAAAGGATATTTAATGTAGTCAATAGATATTTCAATGTAGGTGAAATAATTGCTTTTATAGTTAGAAAATTATGAAATATTGAAGGTGAAATCTGTTTTCACTTGCATTTCTTGTGCATTATGCGAGCTCTTATTATTGAAAAATTTAATAAATTTTATTTTAATGTTTTTTCTCAGTGTATTAAAGCGTTTTCATGGAAATTTTTATCATGCAACAAATTGTATTTTATTATTAGAAAAATAGTTATGTAGATTTTAAAATGAAGAGGAAATTTTCAAAAGGGACCAAATTCATTTAAAATTTTAAGAATCTGTTCCCCTTTGAATGTAACCTCTTCACATATTAATGTTAAATAATAAAATTTTTATTGTGAAAAAATCAAAAATTCCTTTATTATTAGTAATTGTTTTAAATTTAATTTTAAACTTTAATTTTATATTCAAGCACAATATTATTATTTTTTCATATTAATACATTTTTTGATTTACGTAGTAATATTGTTTTTGGATGAATCTTCAATTAATTGAGCATATAACCGAAATAATATATTACTCGTATTGTATAATTACACTTGTGATTGTTCACATTGTCATTAATATTTTCAATTAGTCTAAAAAAAATTATTTGAAATAAAAATTTCTTTATAATTCGATAGAGTAGCTTATGGTATAAAATTATTCGAATAGTAACTTGAAGAGATCACAAAACACGCATGACGGGTCTACACGCATGAACGCCAATGAACCAAGCTATTCTTTCAAAATTTCTGTCAGCCGTGTTATTACGAGTACTTTTTTTTGAAATTACATTTCTTATAACATACGTAGAAGTGACTTTTTAATTTTTAATAAATCATGAGTAACTTTAATATTTGTACGACCAGGCATCATTTTTAATTTGATCACTTGAAAATTTCTTTCGAAAAAGCAATCATGTTGATTATTTTGCATTTTTGTATTTAAAATTTTTAATTCAAATTATTTATTAAAATAAAATTTCAGAATTTTTTTTTAAAATAAAATATATTTAGTTATAAAAGTTTATAATCTTTTGTATTTTTGAATGAAATTTTCTGATGATCTCAATTAATATGATTCTAATATTAAAATTCATAAATTTCAATATTAACACAACTAAAAATTTTTATAATACTTAAGTTTCTATTACAGTTTAATTTTGTTGGGTTAGAGGCTTATTTGAATAAGAAGGAAACCTGGATAAATAATTAAATTTGTTTTATTAAAAATCGCCCTCTGAATTCTTTAACAAAGTGAAATCTTGTCTATTAAAATGTTATATTTAATTCCAAGTTAATATGGTTTTCGTATTTAAGGAGAATTTTTTGCAATTGGAGAATTGTGTGTTACAGCACCAGTGGAAAACTAGATGAAAATTATACCCATATTACAGATATATATACCGATATTAGTATTAAAATTAAAATCACTATTATTAAAATTAATAATCTTAAAAATTTTATTGTCTCCTAATTAATACATTCCTTAAAAGTTTAACAAGAATAAATTAATTCCACTCACTTTTGATATAAAATAAATAGGTAACATATAAGCCAAAAGAAAAAGTTTGAAGATTTGATAAATTTTTTAATTGAGTTTGCCAAAGTTAAGTAAGGATACATTTAAATTAAATTAGTTTTTGGATTTAGTTGATACTCGTATATAGGTAAAAATTTTTCTAAAAGTTTAATTTTTTATAATTATTTTTTGAATTTTTAAATTTACTAACCTGTAGAACATGTTGTCCTTTTTCTGTATCAAATGGATATAAACATTGTAATCCGCAAAATGCCACATTATAATCTTTGGACCAAACAATTGGAAGACGTTCTTGTATTTGAAAGAATACCATTTTTTTGTTTTACTTATAATAAATTAGCTTTATTCACGGAAAAAATTGGGACAGTTAAAACAATTATTTTGAGTTTTGGAAAAATTTATAAATTTCTTTTTACAAAGTTTTTTAATAATATTTTTCAAATTAAAATAAAAATTTATTTAATTTTTAATTTTATCAGTTTTAATTATTATTTTTAAACAATTTGTTTTAATAAAATTTTCTTTTTATATTCAATTCACTTAATTTAATTTAGAATTTATGAAAGCTTTTAATAAAATTGCAGATCCTTTTATTTCTCTATATTTTTTTTTTGTTATATTTTAAATTTTCAATTTTACCGTTACTCGAAAGGATATCTTTTCATAGCGAAATTACGAAATCAACTGATGATTATTTCAGTATGTTGTGCTTCAATATACTTGTTCCATGAAGGCTTAAATTTAGTTAATGTTGTGATAGTATTGATATTATTACTGTTACTTGTACAATATACAAATCTCTTTTAAAGCAATTCAATGATATTGATAATCATTTATAAATTCCATGCATACATACTAAAAATATTTATACAGTGATAGCGCATACCTACAGTTAATGTGTTAATGAAAATATTTTTTGTGACTAACGGATGTTAATAAAAAAAAAAAAAACAAAAATAATTTTTATTTTTTTTATTTATAATTGTATTTGTATTGTTTTTATTAAAGTATAAGAAAAAAAATTTCGGAATCAACAATCAAATTAAATAACAAAAATTAAAAAAAAAACAGCAAAATATCTGAGAAAACACCATACCAAAACACAAGAAAAACAAAAACAAAATGAGAAACAACAGAAAAATTTTGCGTTGCCCTTGAATTTGAATTTTCCTTAAAATCTTTAACGGTAAAAAAAAACAACAAAAGGAGAAAAAAAAAAAAAAAATATTAGTGTTTGTATTGGTAAAGAAAATTATAAAAAAATTGAAGAGATTAAAAAAAAAAAAATAAAAAACGTCATTGGCAAAAATATGCAAATTACTTTTCAATGGCAACACTCAACCAACGCATACTTTAAGTTTTGAATAGATTTATGGTGTTATTTTGTTTGTTTGATTATTTTTGCGTGTATGCTTTTATTTTGTCGAGTTCATTTTGTCAACATGGTTAAAAGCGCGTTGGAGAAATTTCTTAAATCTTATCTAAAATTTAAAAATAAACACTTGTTTTTTTTTTTTTTTAATTCTATAATAATTAATTTTCTCTTTTCCTTTTAATTTATTGTTGTTGTTTTTTCTTTTGAAGAATTTTTATATACGAATATTATTTTGTAAGTAATTTGTTCTTTCCATTTTTCTTTTTTAATTTATTTTAAATAGCTGTTACTTACTAAGAACTAAAGAGTAAAATACGCATATGAAACGCCATTTTTTTTTTGTTCCAAATTATGAGGGATGAGAATTTTATTTATGAATTGATGTAATCCAAATATATATAATGAGTGTGTATATATGAAATATGTATTTGGGTATATATAAAAAACTTTTAAAATTTTTGCGAAAATTTACATAAATAAATTTAATGGATTTAAAAATAAAAAACAAAAATATATTTTTATTTTAGTATAGAATTTTTGTTACTTTTATTAAATAAAAAAAAAAAAGAAAGAAATATTAAAAATACGGAAGTTCTGTCTTATTTGTATACTTTCACATATTCAATTTTTTTAGGGTTATATTTATAGATTTACAAATATTGCATAATATTTAATATAAATGCTTCATTAATATGATTGATATTTTTTTAACTTGTAGCCAAATTACTTTATTTACAGCAATGATTCAGTTTAAATAAATTTTTATTTAGTAAAACGGAAGGGAGACCCTCTTATGTGTACATATATGTAATTGGAAGTATTGCATTGTGAACTCGGAAATGAAGGGTAATATTCCAATAAATATTGACCATGAAAAGTTACAGACCAGTATGTAATTTCATGGTCAGTATTTCTTTGTGGTATTCATAAATTTTCATGTTGCATAATAAAATATAGGGTAATGAATGCAATTAATATCTAATGAGGGTTACAATATCTTGTTGGTAAAATAGAAATTGAATTTCTTAGTGATAAATGCATTCGAAGGTGGAGCAATTATTTAAAATATTCTTAAAAATTGATACTACATTAAGAGATAAGATAGACGAGATTCTAATTTTTTTGTAAATTCATATATTTTCAATATTGTTGAATTAAGGGATAAAATAATTTTACAGATTTATCTATAACAAAGGCACTAAATACTTAAATAATTGAAAAGCTATACAAATTTAGAAATTATTAATAATTTTAAATTTTCATAAAAGTTAAAAATTTGTAATTAAAAGATTACTTAACATATTGAAGTCATAATAAATGTCGAATAGTCTGACAAAATTGAAATTGAAATTACATCATTTTATGCAAAAGCATTTTATGCTGTTATGTCCTAAATTAAAAAAATAGATTAAATTCTTACTTAATATGAATACCATAGAATTAATTAGAATGCAACAATGTTGTTTTTGGAAAAATTATTGAATTCAGCTGACAATTTTAAAAAAAAATTTATACTTGAACAGTTCAAATATTATAAAAATTACAAAATATGCTCTGTAATTTTAATAAACTTAATGTTTAAAGTGTTATTCCTATGCTATGTTAGAGACCATAAAAAATTTATTACCGTATTAATTGAATTTTTCATGTATATGAAGTGAAATAAATTTTTTTTTTTCTATTTTCGAAAACGAAATATACACTTAAATCTTTCATATAAAATGTTCTGTAATGATTGTATGTATATAGTTGCTAACTATGCCCATAATTTTTAAAGTTCAAGGTAGTTTCTTAAGTTCAAATTCTTAATTTACAAAATATATACATAATTTATATAATGAGATGTAAATTCATAGAAGTAAAAAAAAAATATATCTTATTTATTATTGAATTTGAATTGAAATGTCTGATGGATAAATTAGAGATTAAACTAGAGATCAAACGAAATTTCTAGTTGCAAAAATGTGATTGAATGAAAATAAAACTTAGTTCGGTTGATTATTTTTGTATATGGTGAGCCAAGATACATTCATATATACAAGCTCTTTCATATTGAAGGCAACGTTCTTCCCTTATTATTCATAATGTGTAGTTTCTTGATTAAGTTATTTTTCTCTATGTTTCTTGTTAAAAATTTAAAATATTGGTAACACCAGTTTTATTGATATTATCGTTGTTACAGGTGTACTGCAGTTAGACGTTGTAATATTAATTCTGTGTAACATGTTTGTTTTATATCACATATCCGAATATGTAAATGTATATTATTAAATGCGTACTTCAATATATATCTAATTTAATATAGGTTCAGTAGTAAATTCTTAAAAAGAAACAAAAATTTCATGAAAACGTAAAAGTCCTTTAAGTTATATTCCAAAGTTATATATAAAGTTTTTTAAATAAATTTCACTGATTAATTTTATTGAAAATCTGAAATCGCCTTCCATAAAATTCTGTAATCATTTAGTTTATCTTTAATAAATCAAATTAAAAATAATTAATTATTATTCGTCATGATTAAATTTAGTTGTTTTTCCTTTAAATAAGTATCTATATATTTCCTCCTTTTAAAATTATTTTTTAAGCACATTCCAATTTTCATTAATTTTGTATTAGTTTCTATTGAAAAACTCAAGCTAAATATCATTATGTTTTAATATACAAATATATAATTTATTAATAGAAATTTTAAAAATAGAAATCGCACAAAATAAACTAATTTAATACTCCATTTAAAATTGGCATGTAATTAGATTTGATCATATTAATTAAAAACAATTAAAAATATTCCATGACGTCATATAAATTTTTTTTATAAATTGCAGGAGAAGCATTCGGTACTCTCAAATTAAATAATATGGAAATTTCAGAAAAATATTATTTGTCCTTCAGTAAAAATTCTAATTAAATAAAGTTGTTGTGTAGAAAATCAATAAATTCTTGAATTTAATGCTAAAAATGATCTTGGTATTCAGATTCAGTTCGGAAATTTATGAATAAATAAGCTAAATGGCAAAACTGAAATATTAAACGCGAGCAGTATTTCACTTTCATTGAATATTACGCTAGTTCTTCTTGTTTTGAAGTTAAGTAAAGAGAATGGATAAAGAGTGTACAATAAATTTCTTTCGTTAGCGTCTAGTTGTCTATTATAGCTATTGGTTATATAGGTTGTTTATTCATAATGATAATTTTATTACTCCATATGTGCCTCTTACTACAATGGCGTACTCTTCAATCAAATTTTTCAAATATTTTATTCATTGATATCTGCAAAATCTTTAATTAATTAATTAAATATTTCGTCGCAAACATGTTAATTAAAATTTTATTATCACATACGAATGTTTACACTTTATTTGTATGTATATACTTACATATAATTCTTATATTTCCGTTTCAAAAAAAAGGAAAATTTGTTTATTTTTAGAGCAATAACAAAAATATTACAAAAAGAAAATTTGGCTAAAAACTCGTTTAAATAATTTGTGTAGAGCATAAGAAAATTTCTTTGATATAACAAATATTATTATTTAATTATGAATATGAAAAACAAATGAACTGTAATAATATTGATTTTAAGATATTTTAAAAATACACAACTAATTATAGCGTACCGTTTAATAGTTTTTATAAAATTTTGGTATACATTACATGCAAGCAGAAGATAAGATGTGCATAATAATATTTTATTTCTTTTATACCATAAAAGAAATCCGACTGAGAGGGATTAGATAACCAAATTCATAAAAATTGCTTTATTAAAAGTTAATTACGGCGGAAGAGTTCTAAAAATTTATTTACACAAAATTTTTATTACGCAAAAACCAACTTATTATTTAAAATTTTCATATTAATAATGTTCTTGACATTAAAAAGCGGTTCATTAAGTTTTACAATTACAAATGGATGATTTTTATTTAATGCCACAATTTCGTCTGTGTGTCTTTTTTATTTATTGGATAAATTAATTTTAATTATTAAAAATATCTGTTTTCATCATAATATCTTAAATTTTCAAATCACAAATTTCGATACTCGAAATCTTTTTCATCTAAAAACAAATGAAACAACTGAAATTAGAACGAATAATGGTGTTAAATATTTTATTCGTTTACCATTAGATTTCCTTACGACAAATTTATTATATTAATTTAGCATAACAATTTCCGGTTCAAAGCTGTGCTAAATCCATTGCATACACATAGCTTATCAACTTATATTGCCAATTTATTTAAAAAAAATCTCCTAAATATATGCAAATTCATTACGTATGTATTTACTAAACTGATGCAAAGCTTAATAAGGTATGTGCAAAAGTTTAATTTTATTATTTTTTTTCTTGTTTTAAATAAAATAAATATACAAATATAAATTATTCAAAATAAATTTTGCTTTCATCCGATAAATATACATCTTTCCATTTTTTGAATTGTTCCCAAAATGTTAAATTTAATATCGTATGTGGAGCTGTTCGCCAATAATTTGGTATTAGTCCTTTATAAAGACCTTTAACACCCTCATATTGAAAAGTTTTCCAAAAGCAGTCAAATAAATTTTTATAAAGTAAGCCTCGCCCATTTTTATCGACTCCTAAAAAAGAAGCAAAATCATTTTATTCATTTTAACCAAGATATTATTTGAATGATTTTAATTAAGATATAGAAAAAAAAGGAAAGTTTTTCACCTTGATTAAATAATCGTGTAGCCACTACATCAAATGGTGTCATAAATATAACAGTAAAAAATCCACTAACCATACTAGATGCACAAGCATTTAAAAATACTGAATTTGAGAATACCTATATTCAAAATTAAATTTGTAAATACAGCAAGTATATAAGTATTTAAGTATATTGGTTATATTTACCTCATATTTATTTAGAAATTCCTTGCAAGTTGAAAATGTAGATAATTGTACTGATGATGCTACAGCTGTTCTTGGTACAAGACCAGAATATCCTCTCCACAATCCCCTAATTCCATGTTGCTTAAAAATATTTTTTAAACCATCTATTGTGTTACGATGGTGATGTTGATAGCCAACAGCATATCTACCAGATGCTTGTGATTGTGCTTGGATTTGTGTTTTTATTAAATAAAAAGGACAACCTAAATATGCCCCTACAACACCAGCTACTCCACCCCAGAAAATACACAAAATTCCAGAACGATTTTCAACATCACGATTAAATGATGTTAAGTACATACTATCTACTGTTTGATATATTCCCAAACGTGTACTATTCATAACAAATTGAAAACTTAAAGCTGGTACTAATCCTTTCTGTAAGCCAGTTAAACCTTCTGCTTTAATAATATTTTTCACCGAATGAAATATATTTCGATAGGCTAGTCTTGTAGTTCCATCACCAACTTTCTGTTGTAGTTCGCCTTGCAGTTGTTGTCTGGTTTTTATTACCTTTAAAATTAAAGGAGTACAATGTAAAATTAATTTATTATTTATGAAAGTAAAATTAATGAGATAGTTTCCCTATTAAAAAAAGTATTCTTTAAGTATACAGTGCAATTATAGATAACGAGATTTTGAAATGTAAATAAATAATAAAAAATATAATAACCGTGAATTATAAATTTATATGAGATGTAGCTATAACGAGCATGTATGCATGTAGATACACATGTCGTTTATAAATTAATATAAAACTTCTTTAAAAAATTTGCTAGTTTCTTATACAAAAGAAGAATATGTTTCGGTTTATATTTTTATAAAATTTCTTAATTCTCAATTTTAAGATTTTTTGATCTTTATTTAATTACAAATTAATATCATGACTTTTACTGAATTAAACAATTACGAAGATTTTTAAATTAAAAATGAGCAAGAAAAAATTATTTCACATAAATTGAAAATAAAAATTGATTTTTTTACAAAAATAGAAACTTTTTTATTGAAAAGTTAAAATTTATTTCCATAAATTTATGAGTAATTTGATAAAAATACTTTTCAAATAAGTATGGGTCAATCACTTAAAATTATTTATAGAGGACATTTTTTTTTATATGGTATAAAGTTGACATACAAAGGATACACAATTTCTTAAAATAAAGCCATATATGTATGTACCTATTGGGTATATTTTAATAACAGTAAATTTAAAATTTATTTTTGCTGCAGCTTTAATATGCATAAATATATAATACAATATGACTAGCTACTAAAAAATTTAAAAAACATTATAATCGAATTAGTAATTCCTTATTAAGTACACACTTATTTGGAAAAAAATTCAAATCTCTATCATTAGTAGATAATTTGTATTAACATATATATTTGAATTTTGATTTAGAAATCGGACCAGAAAATTTACAACTGACTTAACAGATGAATGCTATATTGCATATTAAATATTTGCATTAAACTAGTTTTAGTAAAAAAAGTCTATGATTCATTGTAATTTAGAACTAATAAAATTAAGATTGATTTTATATAAAATTCAAATTTTTATAATGTTTATGCCAGCTATAAAAAAGCAAATTATATACTTACATCAAAAGGATTACTAAAAACACCAGCACACATTGCAGCTACACCCCCAATCAAAAAATCCATTTCTCTATTTTGAATTTCAACAAACACAATGTAATACAAAATTGTTTTGTCAAATTTTGTTTATAAATATTTACAAATCATGAAATAAATATTTTAATGCCGAAATAAAAAACAAAAATAATAACAAGCGCCAAACTATGAATTAAATTAAGAGTAAATGAACTAAATTTGTTTAAATTTTTATTTTTAGGTATGTTATTCTCTATTAATCTATACTATTTATATAAAACATAGAGAATATTGAAAGCAAAGTATGTAGTATAAATGATATACATATGTATATTTATATATGTATATAGTTACATTCACTATTCACTTGATGAATATTTTATGCGCTTCTTACACATATGTACACATTTGTGTATTAGGAGAATTTATTACAATATATACGAAATTTTCACCCATTTAAACACATTTACATAATTTTTTTATATTCTATTTAGATGAACTTATTATTTTTCAATAAAATATATATTTTGTATTCAACCTTTTATTTATGAACAATAATTTTCAATTTTTTTAATTAATCTTATTAAAATTTTTTGTAAAACATATTTTTAATTATAAATTTAGTTATTTTAGTTTGATTTTATTAAATTTTATTACGTAAGGTGAAAATTTAATTTTTAATTGAAATTTTTAAAGTACATAGGTATATAAAATAATAAAATTTATTTTGATTTCAATTAGGTTACAAAATTTATTATTTTCAATATGTCACTTTCATTTTTATTTCAAAAGATTGTTATAATATTATATACACATAAAGTATTCTTCTTTACAATAATATGTAAATCTTCAATTTGTTTATTAATGTTGTAATTTTTTTGAAGAAGAAAAATATTTCTTTAATTTGTGTGCTCTGCAATTGCAATTTCATTACTAAAGAACTGACCTTTGAATAAAAAATCATTTGATGTGAAAATGATCATTTTTGTGATGAGACATAGTCGTTTCTATGGAAGCCCATGCAGCAATTTAACAAATATACATAAATTGTCTAAAAATATGATAATCACCGAATATCTTTAAATGTAAGATAAATGATTTTATATAATATAATTTTGATTTTGATACTTTTACACATATTTCAAGAACAAAAGGATTATACACACAATTAACATAAGTTTTAAGTGTGTTCAAAATTGTTTAGTACATTTGTAATTTAAATTTTGTAAATAAATGTTTTATAATTACTAAAATAGTATTTACGGTAATATTTTAATTTAATACCAAAACTTTTAAAGTTTCAAATCTATATATCAGATATTTTAAATATTAAACAATCGGTGACTTATGAAACTATTTTTATATTAAAGGCTTAATTTAAAATAAGCATAATCTCCGATAACGACCATTTAAATTTAAAGTTAAAACTAATTTATTAAGAAAAACATTTGTATTTTTACTTAAAATTAAGAAACACTAATGTTCAGAACAACATAAACCGAAATAAGAATATTGTCACATGGGAAGCCAGTTCTATTTATAATATTATGTTTTAGTCTCTTTAATGTTCATACTCACTTTTACTTAGAGAAAATTAAAATATTTTGATTATAAACAAACGATATAAATAAAAAATTTATTGCATTTACAAAGCACCAGCTGATTGATGACGAATTTTATAATCTAAGTAAATACATAATCTTCTAAATATATGTAAAGCCAAATAGTTTGTGTCACAATATTCGATTCACACTTTTTTTATAATATTATCTTTATAAAAGAATGTGTAAACTATTGAGTCGCGTGTTTATGGTATCACTGATGTGTTGAAAATATTTTTATTATAAATTACGATTAAAAAATTCCGTATCATCTTTTTTTTTTTATCATATCAACGTGTTTCTAACTTAATACACTTATGCAGGTATATAAAACTCTTTTATGAATATGTATATAATAACAAAAACAAAAATATGTTCCAAAATATGTATAAATATCTATATACTTATATTGTACGTATAAATAAAATCAAAGCTTTTAAGAACCGGTTATGTACTAATTTTGAGAATCGTATTTATAAGCATTAAAATACATACTAAACACTGTTTACTACCGTGCTTCTTAGAGGATATAAAATAAATAATTGAAGATAAAACTTATATTATTCAAATAAGTAATTGCATTTTTATTTCATTTAAAATAAAAAATTTGGTAAGTATAAAAAGAAAGTTTGAGCTTTCATATTAATATGATTTTAAAAAAAATTTGTTTTAGCACTTATGTAATAGGATTTTTTTGAACTTTCGCAAGTTCTGCTTTAAATTTTGTAATTGCTTCCCTAGCTATTTTTAATTTATCCTTAAGAATTGCTATTTCATTTTTCACTTTCCCTTTTACTTCAACTATATTTTCTAAAGTTTTTACTTTTTTCGTTTCAACTAAAACAAAAAATTATTAATGTTTTCAATTAAAATAAAATTAAATAGTCAGAAATATAAAAAAAAAATTCTTACAATCAGTATCATGTTTATAGGTTCCTGTTGTCACCGGTTCAACTTTAGTTAAATAATGTTGCATTAATTGTGTTGGTTCTTGAAAAACTATCTCTTCATATTGCTCAGAAACTAATCCCTTTTTATTATCAGATATTGATGAATTAATTTCACTGTATACAATTGGTGATTGAAATAATTTTAATATATGATACAATGTTACTGGTCTTTCTGTTGGATCATGAAAATAAATTTTTATAACAACTTCAAATTCACCCCAACCAGTTTCGGTTACCTGAAAATATTGTTATTAAGTATTTATGTACATTAGAAAACTAAAAGAAATTAATAATAATAATATTACCTCAAATGGTGGTTTTGTTACTATCCTATTTGGATTTGCATAACTTTCATGTAATTTAAAATGAACTTTTTTAACATAAGCTGCCATATCTTCATTACGATATGGTTTAACATAAACATTCCATTGATGTGTATGACCATCTTCCTCTCGTTTTTTACCAAAAGATCTTGCAATATTTCCATAAACAATTGGTTTTACAATTGTTAAACCCTTTAAAGATATTTTATTAAATGAGCATATTATTTTCATAGGTTCATTTGTTATACATACCTTTACGCGTCCACCAGAATCTGGTCCGAAATCAGTTGGAATATTCAATGAATTCATCTTAATTAATTATGTATTGGTTTATTTTAATTTTATTTTCTTTTTCTCTTTACAATTGTTTATACTTATTTCAGAATAAATTAAAATTTACAAAATTTTTTCAAAAAAATTTAAAATCAAGCTTGTTTTGTAAAACAAAAAAATATGTATTTCTCTATTTACTATTTAGTTGTCAAAATTATTAATGTCAAACTTATCGTTTTAGATATAATTTCAGTAGCTTTGTTTCATTCTATAATTTTGTTATGAAACATTTGATATTGACGGAACAAAACGGAAACTGAAAACATATAAGTAGAAATAAACCGTTTTACATTACGTTTAAAATTGTTTAAATTTAATTGTTTTTGAAATTTTTCATAGTAGGTAACGGTACTTGTTTAATAAATTTAGTTTTAGAGAAATTCTCTTTTATCAGAACGTAAATTTATTTTCTGAAGAACGTAAATTTACCATTATTGAGTCGAATCAAGAGTGATATATGTGTGTATGCATGCACATATAATCATTTTTGATAAAATTTTAATAACCGACTTCTCTTATTAAATTATTTATTCCTTATGGCTTATGATTTAGAAAAGTTAATGAATTTTTTAAATTAGTAAGAGCTTGTAGAATAATCCTGTATATACAAATAGAATGTTCAATATGTTTTAATCGCAATATGAGAAATTATTTATCTTAGCTACATCATATGTATTTATGTGATCTTAAATTCTAAGGGAATAAATATGCAAGAATATTAACATTAATATAAGAATTAATACAAACATTAAAAGGAATTGCTTGTAAGTTTTAGATTTTTTGAAGTCATGATTATTGTTTGTGTTTAGCCATTCTGATATGCAGCAAAAAGCATGTAAACGTATTTAATTATTTACATAAAATTTAAAAAATATTACAGGAATTAATAAAGGTGCATTTTGATAAAACAAATTCAATTTGAAAATTTACAATTCTAAGACTCAAGGATGAAATTCTAAAAAAAATGTGTAAATTTTATGCTCTTAATTTTTTGTTAAAATATCTATTTCACTTCTCTATATACTTAAACAAAATAGGAAAATTCTATATAATATAAAACTATATATATAACATTGTTTAACGCTCCTTTATTCTGAAAATAAAAGAAAAATACAAAAAAAAACATAAGAAAAATTACAGTTAAATAAAAAAAACAAAAAATTAAAGGAAGAATATGAAAAACTCGAATTTTTCAAGGTTGGGGTTTCCAGACAACACCCTATAATTTTCCGTATCATGAACTTTTCCCTTTTTTCATTGTGGTATTTTTGTACATCCTATAAAATTTTTCTTTTTTGTTTCTTTTTTTTTGTTGTTTTTATATTGCACTGACACATATGCATTTGAAATATTTTTTATACATATTTTTGATTCTTAATTCTTCCTTTTTTATACTTGTATAAATGTATTCGTGTTTTTGTATGTATGTATGTTAAAGCTATGCAGAAAAGTAAAAAAAAAGAAAATTGTGTAAAAAAAGAAAGTATTGTAAATAAAAATTTTTTTTTTTGTTAGCATTAAAATATTATTAGAGAGTCAGTAGGTAGAATTTTTCCCTTTTTATCCAGAAAAACATTGAAGTTAAATGAATGGATTATTATATAAAATGCCTACAATTGTAACCATCTGGATCTAATATTTCACCATCATCTCATACCTTCTTGTATAATATTAAATAAAGCTCTTAGGGAAATTTCTTTCTACACCTTAACCTTATGTTTTTCAATGGGTAGAAAAAAAACAAAAGAAGGAAAATTTAAAAAAGAAATTTAAAACTTTTTGGTGATTCGACTGGATTTGTTTTATAAGACAAAATGTAAATCGAGAAAAAAATTCAAATATTCAATTGTAAATTCCAAAAATAATTTTCCATTCTGTTAACAGAATTTTGTTATAAATTTCGTTTATAATAACAATTTTAATTTTATATACTAAAATTTTAGATCAAAACTAAAGTTTAATCTCAAACGAACTTTAATGGCAGACCGAATGGATTTGTAAAAACGATAATTTTTCATAAATTTTGTCCTTTTGATATTAAATAAATGAAATTTGAAATTTCTATTATTTGGAATAAGACGGGGTTATTATATTATTTATAAATTTGTGGAGTTAGGTATTCTAAATAAAGATTATTCACATACGAATTCAATCAAAAGAATCAAATTTATTAAGTGTTAGCTAATTTAGCTGATTAGTTCTACTTTTATTAAATTAGGTTTAATATTACTAATTTCAGTATGTTTAATGATTTACTAGCTTTACTATCTAAATAGAAATCAATAAATCTTAATAAACATAAAAATATTATGAACACAGTGTGACAATGAGAAAACTGTTATACATATTTAATGGGACTGTTCTGACCGTCAGGAGACGCGGAGATGATTTTGGAAAGGTTTTTTTCCGTATTGAAACTTCCACGACCATTATTTGAGGCATATCTCCAGTTATTTGCTTGAGATCGGGATGGAATAGTTGGAATATGGGAGAATTACAATAAGCCGCAACTCAAGGGGTAGATATTCTTTTCTCTCTTCAGAAATCAGCAATCAATATTCTAGCTTTGCATTGATCGAATATTTTAGATCTTATAGTTAGAATGAATAGAATTATATTATATTGATGAATTTTGTATATACAACATACTGTACTTTTTATATGGATTTTTCTTATGTCCTTATCCTTATATACACAATGACTTCCTTTTAAAGTTTTGCCAGTTTTTCCTTTTTTTTATATATACACAATTATATTTAAAAGTGTATTAGAAGAAATATGTATTTTTTATATTATATTGTGTATATAATATAAAATGTAATGTATTTGGTAAAATTTTGAGACTGGGTCTGGGACATATGCATATTTATATTATTATAGAAAGACATTTTGAATATTTTATATTATACTTTCATTTTGTTTATTCTATATTTAAATAATGCATTTATGTACAGAAATATATAATGTTATTATATACTGTTATACATTTATATAGGTAAATTTTATAATATATGTATGTAATATGTATTTAACAACATTTTTATTAAATTTTGTTTGCTCTTTTTTGTGTAAGTCTACAGTTAAATAAATGTATATGTACATATATAAATATGTGGTGTTTGTTATAATGTAATATTATGATGTTGCTTAACTTTTATAAATTTTGTAAAAGTATAAAATATAATCAAAATAATTTTAGAAATTCGTTATTATGTCAGTTATTGTGAATTTTTTCTTTAATTATACTAAGTTATTTGTTATACAATTAGAAGTTTTACAAATTGATTTAAAATATTTTGCACTAAAAACGCCATTTATTTACGTCAACCGCTAGAAATTCTAAACTGCAAATACGGCAGTGTATGAGGCATCACGAAGAGCGAATTTGGCAACAAGCAATATTGTGGTTGAGCTAATTTCATAGATTTTTCAATTATAATGTTACGGAAACAATGTTTTAATATTATGCTAGAAATTATGTTGATCCTTAACTTTTAATTATTTAAAACATGAACTAAATGAATAGAAGCTAATTTAAAAAATATTGTAGTCTCAGCAATAATCTACATCGAAACGAAGTAAAAGTAAACGTTTTCCTGGTAAACTTTGTTTTTTTCTATAGTTCTGAATATTATGAAATTTAAAATCATTAGCTTTCAATAAGTTTTTTGTTTTTCAAAGCTGAAGTCAATTGTATTTTATTTAAATCACTTTTGGTTTCATGAACATTTTTATTAGTTGAGAGATATATTAATGATATATTAATTGTTATTGAGATCTTGAATTATGTAATGCTACAGCGCTAAAGTTTTCTAATTTAATTTAAAAATTTAAATGTAAAATTCATTTCAATAGATATTCACAATGAAACAATTCATATTGAGGCTAATGTCGGTTGAAGTACTTACTGCGCTCTAAACCAAAATTTCTTCATAATAAATTAAAACGTAATTCCTCTAGAACTAGAACATATAAAGTATAAAAAATGTAAAATACATTAATTTGCACTCCTAATTTTCCTACACATTAATTTTCAAAACTTAATCAAAAAGCTGAAATTAATTACAAGTCAAATTTTTGAGGCGTTATTATCGTGAGTTACCTATATATTTGTATTAGGACGATTTCAATAAATCAGGGAAAAATGTAAAATTTAGAATTTGTTTGAAGTAAATGTCATTCAACTAAATTTTCCAAATGTCATTTATCCACCACATATACTTATATGAAAAAATCAAAAATGCGTAAAAAATTTTGCAAAAAAATAAGTAGTCAAAAAAAAGCACTCGCATTCAAAGCGTCAATTAATTGTTAATGGTAATAACGAAAAAAAAGCCAAAACACGAAATTATTACTGTCCTATACGAACTATTTGTGAAAAATTAAAATTAATTTATTTGTGTATATAAGCACAATATAAAAATAGTGAAATATTGTCTTTCTCCTACCACACCAATTTTTTTTAACTATATATTTTACCATTCATTCAAATTACATGAAATTGGATCGAATTTTAATCATCTTTTTTTTTTATAATTAAATACCTAGCATATTCGGTTATGTGTCTGCTTTTTTTTTGCAGTTTATTTCCAATTTTTTCGTTTTTTCTTTTCTTTTTTTTTCGAAATAAATGTACTCATTTTTATTTATTCTGTCAGGGTCATTGCTTTCAGTTTCTGCTATTTTAATATGATTTTCCTTTATTATTTTTATTGTTATATTTAATTTTGTTCCTTTTCTTCTTTTTCTTTTTTTTTATTTATTATTATCAATATCCGTGCGTATGTACGTGTAATATGCTGTAGGTATAAATAAAACAATAATTCTAAAACAACCCCAAATATTTCGTGTATAACGCTTTCTCTTTTTCTCTTTTTATTCCAATATTCACTAATTCCATAACAGGTTCAAATTTAACCTGTATTATATTAAAAAACAAAAAAAAAATATAGTTTGTGTTACCCAAAAATATAATTTTATATCCTTATATAAAATATTTCTATGAATTTGATTTTTTTTAATTTTGTTTGTTGTTTTTTTGTGTTTGAATATTTGAACACACAATTTATATAACAGTATTCATATACATGCGTGTTAA